CCCTGTGGCCGCAAATAAATGAGTGTGTATCAGTGTGTGTGCGTTTCAGTGCGGCCCCAGTCCCCTTTTCTGGAAACCAACACTGCCTGCTTATGATCATTTCGCACAAATCGGCCGTAAACTGCTCTGCAACGGAAAGCCAAAAAAAAAAAACTGAGGAACACGCGAAGGAAGCAAAATATTGCGATCAAACCAGACAGAAAGTAAAAGAGCAGAGGAGAAAACGCCGCCAACGCCCGAGCCGACTGTGTACCCCCGAGAAGACACGAAGTAACAAAGTCCCAAAGGTTTGGAGGGAGACAGCCGAGACGCTCATTGCGTCATCGTCACAACTGCTGCACACCGCCAGGTCTGTTGATGATGGCATCGATGCCCATATCGACGCTCGGCAGCCTCTGACCGTGCGGATGCATGGTACGGGCTCCGGGCTTTGTTGAGTGCCCCGTGTGGCCGGAGCCACTGTACGCAGCACCTGACCGTTCGACGAGACCGAGCTTGTGTACCATGGTGGTTCTGCTGCTGATGGTGGTGGCCGTAGTAGGACCCAGGCATGGGCTGCATGGCAAAGTGCTGGTGGTGGTGCTGGTGGTGTTGCGAGGCGTAACCGTTGCTTTCGCCGCTGGCCGAATGGCCGCCCGACGAGGCCGTCTCGGGGCTACTGTAGGACGGGTCTAGCTCGTCAACAGGTGTCAACCCGATGCCGCTGATTCCGCTATCATCGTCATACCCTGGTGGTAGTGGCTGGCCGGATTCCAGACGTTCGCGGCCCGCGGCGCTGCGGGCAGCGCTCTGCAAGTTCTTGAGGCCGTTGGACATACACTGCAAATGGTCAGCATCAAGATGACGGAAATTGGAGGAGACGGCGCAGGAGCAGGAAGAACACACCTTGGCTTCGACGACATTCCACTTCTCGCCTGTGCGGGCAGCTAGGCCAGACCAGATGTCTGCGCATGCTCATGTACTCCTTGGCGAGACGTTCAAGCTTGCGGTTGTCCCAGTCGTCGGCACCCTTGCGCTCCATGAGGCGCTCGTGGCGCTTGCGGCAGGCATTGGGCGTCTTGTTTCCAAAGTAGGTGATCTGAATCTGTGCCCAGTTGAGGCCCTGCGCGCGTGCCGCCAGGAGAGTCTGGTCGTCTTGTGGGGTCCAGGCGCCCGAGGAGGCGCGGTGCTGCATGGGGGGGATGCCCACGTTGGGGGCGGCGGCGTAGGCGTCATAGTTGGGCTGGGACTGGGCCTGCATGACGGCCGAGGAGGACGAGGCCACGGGGAAGTAATCCGGCATGGCAAGGCGTTGCTGGTTGTACATGTTTGGGGTGGGGTTGGCTGCCGGAGCGAGAGAGACTGGCATGGGGTTGTTGTAGCGATGGCTGGAACTGGATGACCGTGTGTGCTTCGGCATGTTGTGTGGACGAGGCGTGATGAGTGATGAGAGCCAGAATGGTGACGGAGGACGTGTAGATTATCGATTAAGACCGATCATACGTGGTCTCAAGAAGCCAATGACGCTTTTGTGTTGGTAAACGAAAGCCTCTCCCGGAGGTTATTTGATGATGAAGTTGTCCGTTAATTGCCGAGATAGGCCGATGAGGCAGGAGAGTAAGAAAGATGCAGGCTGTGACAAGGAAAATGTCCAGAACCTGATGTAGAGCTATGTAGCGAATGTAGCACTGGAGGATAGGAACCTGGTTTTGGAAACGAGATGAGACTGGTCGACGAGAAGGAAACGAAGAAGCGGAGACAAGGAAATGGGAGAGATAGAGAGAGAGTAAAAAAGGAAAAGAAAAGAAAAAGGAAGCGACTCAGAGAGGTCGGTCGCAGCAGTCAGGTCTGTCGTCTTAGAGGAAGGGAATGCAAGGCAAGAGATGTCAGTGGCCTCTGGGGCGGACATGATGGTGGATTTAAAGACAATCGTCAGGCATGCGGCGGCGCTTGAGGCGAGAAACAAAGACGGGCGAAGAAGCGCGAGTGCTACTCTGAAGCTGGGGTCGGCAGGTGGATCTGAAACGATCAACTTGGCGAACGCAGTATGAAACTCGCCTTGTGTGTCTAGAGAGATTGATGGCAAGACAAGAGGCAAAGGACATTGGCTGGCCGTGGATGGATGGGCGGCTGTCTGAGGTTGGGCGCGTAGAACAGGCCGGTCGAGGGCGGCGGCTACGAGGTCCCACGATGGGCCGCCGACGATGGCAGCCAGAAAATGGGACCGCCTCCCATTTGGACAGCTAGGCCGGACTGTCGCAGTATGGGGCCAAAACTCGAAAAAGAGGTCGAAAATAGCCGGCCCGTTGGGTATGGGTAGCCGCCAGCCGTGGTGGAAGAGATAGGACGACGAAGATGGGACAGAACGGCAGGGGTCACGCGTGGGAGCAGGCTGCTCGGCCGGCCAGCGCGGAGAGGGATGGCCGTAGGTCAGGCCCGAGAAATGGATGACAGTTGTCAAATCGACGGAGTGCGGCCAGCTGGTGTCATCGGATGAGAGAATGCGTCTGTGGTCACGAATCTGGAAGAGCATCTGCTGTGAAGAAAGACAACATTCAAGGTAGGAGGAGAGAGGGGTTGCAGTACGATGAGGCCAGCCTACCCGGATCCAGGACCAGGCAGAACAGGCTGTGAACTCGTCTCAAGGCAGGATCAGGCCAGGATCCCATAGGTAAAGCAACCAGGAACGACACTGCGAAAGGGTGCGGCGGGAGGCGGAAGCTGCTAGGTACCGAGTCGTAGCTGCATGAACCAGCTCACGACGAGTCCATTCATTCTAAGGTACCTACCTACCTAGGTAGGTAAGGTAAGGTACCTTAAAGTACCTTACTTAGGTCGGCGACTCAGGGCGGGCTCCCAATTTGGCATCAAGCGCAGACTGGCGCCGACTCTCTTCCCTCAATGGGCAGTGGCGGCAGCACGAGCAGCAACACGAAGGACGTCCACGTTGGTCCACGTCCACGTCAATTGCAAGGTCCGAGTTCGAAAGTCGCTTCGAGGAAATTATCTGAACTATGGGCTACTAGACGCGCGCCTGCAGTGGGTACCTCGTTGGGGGCTCATTGGTTGGACTGGTTGGCTGTGTGGCCACCCACTTCTTGCCATTTGAAGGGAAGGCCGACCGAGATTTACCTTTCTTACCGAGAATGCTTGTTTCTGCTACACCGAGGTGAAAGCGACCACCCTGTGCATGCGCCGCAGCCGTACATTGCATCTCGGCTCCTGACCATCGAGTGCCGTCGTGTCGGGATATTGTCATTTGAATCAATGACATGAAAATATCAATGATAGCTTCACGTTGGCCCGAAATCCACCATCAAAAGCCATGCCGTATGCGCGTACGGTCTCTCCCAGTGGACCATGAACATGTATGCAGCTGCAATTCGCCCAACTTGGATGGTGAGCTAGGTAGCTAGCACTTCTACACCACAGCTCTTAGTTGGACTCCGCACGGATGCAACGACTGAACTTGTCTTGTCTTAGTCACTACCATTCTCATGAGCTCACTGTACACAATCGTGGCCAGAACCGATGTCACACAACGAGATAGCACTCCACAACCATCGAGCAATACGTGTATGACCTGCCGTGATCAGAAGAGACCGCCAGTTGAGATGCAGCCCTGCATCCACTGCTTACCACACTGACCAGTCATTCCTGCCTGTCAATCTTACCCATCTACGCCCTTCTCCGCTCCCATCTGACGGCACTGCATTTAAGGTGGCCATTTCCTCGCTCTGACCGCTTTCTACAGCTTTAGCCTTCTGTTCCCTAGTCGCCTCCCGCTCATCCACCACAACTTGGGCTCGACAACTTCTCACCATGACGATGAACGCCAGCAATCCGGTCGTCAATGGCCCCGACGTATCCTCCACGCAGGAGACTGTCGGCGACATGATGCCAACATCGCACATCTCCATGTCGTGGCCGTCAGTACCCATAGTGCTTGCTATCTTCCTAGGCTACCTTCTTCTCTGTCAATCTCTTCGCTTCTACCACATCAACGCCCTCCAGAAACGCCTTGGCTACACTGATCGCGCCTCCCTGGCGGGTATGAGCAACGACGATGCCCAAATCATTCCCAAGCACATCATGGAGCGCGACTTTCCCATGTTCTACGAGGTG